GTTTGAATCCATTCTCTTAGATTTAGTCACACATGACTTTGTTGAAGTTACTTAATGTATTTATATGTCAGTTTCCTCCTCTGTGAAATGGTGCAAACACAGTACTTACGTTATGTAGTTGTTCTGAGGATTAAATGGCTTAATACATGCAAAGCACTTAAATGGTGATTGGCACATAATAAAAATTTGAAAGATATCAGTAGCAGTTATAATTATTATTATCTTATAATCAGTCCTATCCTCTCAGTCACCAAGACTTGAAATACTAATCATTCTTAACACATTCCCTTCCCTTTCTCCTCACAATAGGTCAATTGTCCAGTCCTGAATCCTGTTAGGTTAAGCCATACACAATCCTCATTTCTTTCTTTTTTTTTCTTTTTTTGACAGGCAGAGTGGACAGTGAGAGAGAGAGACAGAGAGAAAGGTCTTCCTTTACCGCTGGTTCACCCTCCAATGGCCGTCGTGGCCGGCGCACCATGGCCAGCGCACCGCGCTGATCCAAAGCCAGGAGCCAGGTATTTCTCCTGGTCTCCCATGGGGTGCAGGGCCCAAGCACTTAGGCCATCCTCCACTGCACTCCCTGGCCACAGCAGAGAGCTGGCCTGGAAGAGGGGCAACTGGGAAAGAATCCGGTGCCCCGACCGGGACTAGAACCCGGTGTGCCGGCGCCGCAAGGCAGAGTATTAGCCTATTGAGCCGCGGTGCTGGCCACAATCCTCATTTCTGTAAAACAAAAAGAGTTGTCTGTCTACAGTCATTTCATATAGTTCAACTTAATGCCACCCCAAGTTTCACAAATTTCTTCATTATTTTCCTAAATTAGACCATTATACTTGGACTGTTACAGCAGTCAGTCTTCTAACTGGACTCCCTAATTCCTGGTTCTCTTCCTACACTAATCTGACTTGCACACATACTCTGATGGAATCATTATCCTAAACCTACTGATCATGCTTCAATCTGCTTACAGGCCACTAATGACTTCCTACTGATCATAAGAGCAGTTGTCAACCCTTTTTCTGACATGTTACATGTAAATAGGTAACAGTCACATGCGCAATATCTTCTAATAGACATACTCAGATCCTCGCATACCCCAAAACAAATTATCCCAGTATGTGAAGCATATTCACTGTAGTTTTTAAACATATTATACAGAGTATTTTATAAGACTATGATTAATGAAATCAAACATTTTAACTGACTTGAATATTTTGAATGATGCCAATAGGCATTTACGTAATTACTTTAAGAGTTTTAAAATCATTCAGTGATGATTCCATTTTTTTAAGTGAGGGAGGGAAAGCTGACAGAAGTGAAGTGCAGTGGGGAAAGCGCTGTGGCACAATGGGTTAAGCCACTGTCTGCAGCACGGGTGTCCCATATAGGTGTCAGATTGAGTCCCTGTTGGTCCATTGTTGATCTAACTCCCTGCTGATGTGCCTAGGAAAGCAATAAAAGATGGCCCAAGTGCTTGGAACCCTGCTACCAATTTGGGAGACCTGGATGGAATTCTAGGCTCCTGACTATGGCCTGGCCCAGCCCAGGCAGTTGTGGCCATTTGGTGTGTGAACCAGCAGATGAGCAGATAGAAGCTCTTTCCCTCTGTGTTTTTCTTTTTCTCTCTGTAACTCTGCCTTTCAAACACATAAAATACATCTCAAAAAAAGAAGTAATCTGTCAGCTTCTGTGCCATACTATCAGGTTTGATTCAAAATGTCTCTTTAACTTATTTGAAACCACTGATGAAGTCAACCAGGACCAGATACTACACCCAACAAGGCATTGTGGTTTGCAATCTCCTTCTAACTAGTCCAACTGATAATGGCATTTATTTTAAAAAAATCTATGCAACACATATTCATTCTTTGAGCATTTTCTATGAAATGGCACCATGTTCTTTTCTGATCTTATTAATAGAAACATTCATAGTCTCAGGTAGAAAGTAAATGTAGAAGGGCAAGACTTCATTTATTTATCTACATTTGCCTTTTTCCTAAGAATGAATGTACCTAAGTGTAAAATGAAAAATAAAATCACAGGGGACTGCAAACTTCCAAGTCCTTAAAATCATGGTCGCCCATTATTGAATTTAAAAGAAAGTGTAAGACTAGATAAGGGTGAGCGTTTTATGTAGCTCTCAGTGAGCCAGCTTGTAACTCCATTCACTTTCCTACTTAAGAAAGCACATCAGAAAACTGGTTAACAAAGGTGGTCTTATTAGAGGACAACCCTGAGTCTACTTGATTTTCTTTCTAGGTAAATCATTTGCAAACATTGGTACTTTAACTCTTATGGGTAACAGATTACTTTTGACACATCAGTGGGTTGCAACATTAGGTTTGATCTTCCGAATAAAGTCCAAGACCTTTTGGCTGGCCTTCTGGCATGGTTGTACTCTAGCACTAAACTTTTGTGAGTACCCTTCCCATATCAAGTGCTCTAATCATATGGTTTTTATCACTGCCTTCTGCTCACACCAAGCCACAGTGTTTTCATATAAAGGCCTAATGTTGGAGCCAGAATTCAATCTCAGGTAGGTAGTCTGGCTTCAGAGTCTGTGCATTTAACCACTACACTCTACTGCCTCTCATATACTTCTTGCCTTATGGCACTTGCTTTCTGAGAGGGGAGGATGGTTGAAGGTCTCTTTCCTATACCTTTGTGTCTTCTACCGAGATTTGCATGTAGTAGGCCTATCCAGTTAACGTGTGTTGAATCAAGATCCTACCTGGTATGATAAAATTGTAAGCAACACTTAAAAATAAATTCATTAAACTTTAGGGAAACTATATTAAAATTGGACACAATGTATTTTTATATCAGACCCTGTGGCAAACTGAAAAATACAACTGGAGATAAGAAAGAAAACTGTGTCCTGTGATTCACATAATCTAAGTCCCTATCAGTTGTGAGAATACAATTCACTGTTTATTGCTTCATGAAGATTACAATGGCTTCTAGCATAGCTACTCCTACAGGTTTTAAAGTTAAAAGCTCTAAAACTGCAAGGAAATTTATAAAGCCACTATACTAGAATTTTACTGTTACATGTATCATTTGTTTTATCACTTATAATTTATTAGTTATTTGATACTAAATAGATTGTCTGAGCTTTGCTTCCCCCATCTGTATTATGGAGATAAACACCTCAAAAGGTTGTTGTAGGAATTGAATATACCTATACTTTTTCTTAAAATAATACTTCTGAAACCTTGTTCTAGCAACAGTGTGCAGGATATACTTAGAGAAAGAATAGGAACCTCTATGAGTCAGATTATAGGGAGAGGAGAAGGAGAAATACCTGGAGCATGCAGAATGGGTGGGGTTGTCACGAAAGTAGAATTAACAGAGCTATTTGACAACGGAATATAGTGGAAGATGAAAACCATGGCAATGATAATGCTAAGGTATTGAATATGGGTGACTGTAGAGTTCAACTGGAGTGGTTAAAGGGAAAATTTAAATGGAATTAGTCATCAAAGAGTTTAAAATTTGAAGTCATGGCAAGTTAAAGTTTGTTGATAGCTTTTGGGATTACCCCAGTTAGAAACACTGTACTCTTAAGGAAGACAACATAAAATCAAGAGACCTGCACTTGTGGTGTTAACTCTATGGTCACATCTGAAGCTAAAGTTCATTGCTTACCAGCAGGGGTGGAGAATTTCTGGCCCATGGGCCATATAAAGTCTGCAAAATCATTTGGTCTGACTCTGCCAAGGCACCCACAGGTGGGATTGGAAATTCAATCAATCTATGGCAAGCTAATTTTGAGTTAATCATTTTGTATACCAATGAATGGTGTCATAAATATCCAATTGGCCCTTGAAGGAGAAAAGATTCCCTAACTTTGGTAGAGGAAAAATATCACCATACAGAAAACATAAAGCTTCCTCTGTGTGCTGGTTCCTGTGTTAAACTTACAATAGGCACCTAATCCTCAAAATAAACATGTTCACTAAGTCGTATTATTCTCACTTTATACATGAAGAAACAGAGGCCCGGTTTCATAAACCAGAAAATAGTGCAACTCATATTGGAACCCAGAGCTTTGTGACTTCTGTAATAATTTCCATCAATAGACCTCTCCTGTTTGAGACATCGAAATATTGTGTCCCATTCTGTCCCCCTAGTCCTAAAGTTTTAAAAGTTTTGAGATGACTTAAATGATGAGAAAGAGGATTGGACTGTGATGGATATACAGTAGGAAAAAGGCCTCAGTGTTTTCCTTGGACAAGGTAAGGGTTGAAGAAATAGACTTCTGTAATAGTCTACTTACTGCTCATAATGTGCTATGGCTACTACTAGAGATGAAGGACAACTTGTTCTAGAAATTAACTTAGCTTTATGGGAGCTGCTGGTGGGGAGGGGACAGAAAATAACTTTCACTCTTACTTGAATTTTGATGCTCCTGAAAATAGAGATTTTAAGTAATATTTAAGAATGTGGACTCTTCTTTAAATAAGAAATGCCCCCATAGGCTCCACAATTACAAAAATTCAAAGCCATAATCTTAACCAGGAACAAACCATGAGAAACCAAACTTGAGTCTTTGTTTGTGCTTCCTCTGCCTGGAGCTTTGGAGTCCTGGTTTCTTTTCAGAACTGACAAGCTGAAGATGAGCTGGGGAAATGGGAAATGGGATATGGACTCTAGGAGTAGTCCAGTTAAAAGATTTCTCTCTTCCATGTTGGAATTCCTTTTAACAAAATTTCTAAGACATCACAGTCTGGTGCTGTCTGCACCTTGAAGGATGAAGGAAGGAAACTCCAACTACTCTGAGGGAACAGATGTTCCAGAAGAACAATAGCCACTTGGTGAAGTGGTGGTTTGAAAACAACCTGAGAAAAAAGGCAGAGAAGTTTGGAATTATAGGTGACAACGAGCAGCAGAAAAGATTTATGGTAAGTATAAGCACTCACCAGTGAGTCTTGGAAAGAGGTGTGGAAATCAATGAGTGACCCCGGGGTTTCTTCTGCCACCCTAAAGTCACCTACCATCTGGCAACCCAGGCCATTCTGTGAGTTGATATAGGAGTTCTTGGTTATAGTCTGGGGTCCATCTCCTGTTCCTGAGGTCCTCTCCTCATCAGACCTGCTGGTTGCTTTCTTCTGTTTCATTGAGCCTTGCTGGTGGCAGAGAGGAGGGAAGGTTCTGGAGTTATCAGTCTGTATCATCATCCCTACTCCCTCCCTCTAGGAAGCTGGGGCGGGGAAGTGGTGGTGGTGGGGGGTGTTGTAGGTTGGAACAGAGAGCTACCCGCAGGCCATAGTGAGGGACAAGGGGCCTTTGATCAGCTCCCCGTTACTGAGCTGTTTTTCCTCATGTCCTTTTTATTTTTTCTTCTTTTTTTTTGTCTTTAAAATTTATTTATTTATTTACCCATTTAGTCTCTGCTGAGCAGACATGGTTAGCTATCTAAAGGTCACTAGCATGGAACCACTTGGCCAGAGCCCAGTGTTTCAGCTTTGCCAGGGACACACTGTTCTACTGTACCTCAGCACTGTAAAAAAAAAAAAAAAAACAAAAAAAAAAACACTCAATTCCAGCCCATTTTACTTTTCATTCCTTCCTTCTTTCTCCTTTTCTGCTTTTCTTATTCCCACTCTTTTGGTTCATTTACACTAGTGGTATGTATATTCTTTCTTAGTCCTCCTTCTACTCTTTGCGGTTTCTCTTCTCTTTTCCCTATGTGTCCCTTTACCAGGTTTTTTCCCCTTCTTGTGCTGACCTGAAAGCACTTCCTGTGACCAGTGAAACATATCTGGCCGTGGTGGTCTAGGGAGATAGCAGGTAGGAAAGACAAAAGACTCCTGTTTTCATCCTCCAAGTAGAACTAAAGTTGAATGGTGGTGAGGTCTTGGTGGAATGCTGAACTGCGAGAATAGCTGGGGAGAGCATGAGGGGAACCACTGTGTAGAGGATGGTCTCACCAGGGGAAAGACTGAAGTTGTGTGAAGGGTGTCAAAAAGTGACAACTCCAAACTAGATTTCTTGATGGCAAAGGAGACTAAATTCGGAAATCTGAGAGGCTTTGGCACGGCCTGGTCCACATGATTTCCAGGATGATTCCATCCTGTTAACCCTCCTGTATTCTAATTTTTGCCCACATTAACCCACCGTCTCTCCACCATCACCATGACCACCACTATTACCACCGCTCAGGCCATGGTTTGCATCCCTTCTCTTTTGCCCATCATTATTTCTTGCCAGCCTTCTATGGAGCCCCTCCCAGCTCCCTCAGGCTACCTCTGAATCACTCTCTTGGCACTTTAGTTTATTGTTATGCTTGTTTGAGAAATCTATGAGGTAGCAAAAATATGAAGGCAGCAAAGGCCTTGCTGAATTCAAATATATAAATCCATATCCACACTCTCAGAATCTTCTTCTGTCTACCTGATCCCATGAGCAGTAATGCTCAGGTCTAGGGCCCTGCCTGTATCTGTTATACCAGGCTATTGCCATGCAGGTGACACACACTATCCTGAACCAAGGCCCCACTAGAAAAGAAGGCCTGGTATGAAGGATTTAAGAATTGCTTATCCTGGACATAATTAGATCATAGTGGGGAGAGATAAAATCTCTGAAAAAGGGGAGTTCATATGCATCTTAATGGAAGTAAACAGAGATCAAAAAGGTAAGATGATGGCTGTAGGCCAGATGAAACAAATGTTTCTATTAATGTGAGTTCTTAAATAGTAACATAGGTAACTATGAAATGTTGATAGTCCCTGCATTCTTTCCAGGAGGTTCTCTCTCTACTTTGGATAGGTCAACACTGTATTCCCTGGGAGTCCTGCAATTGGTTATGGGATTTGTGATTATTAAAGATATTGGAAATTGGAGTTTGTCCAGAGAAATTTAAGCCACAAGTTAAGCTATGACCTAGATAGAAAGAGATAAAGGAACAAAAGACTTGTTTTTGTAAAAGATAAGACTTGTAGATTATTGCCTTCAGTCACTGAAGGTCTGGGATGTAAGAAAAGGACCAGATATTCCTGACCTCTAAGTCTGTATCTGTTAACAATGAGGCAGACTGTATGGGAGTGAAAAGGGAGACAATAAGTGAAAATTAAGCCAGGCAGAAGCCTTGAGTGACCCAACCCTTTTTAAACATTCTTGGAAGAGGTGGAATCATATAAAATGTAGTCTGAGAGCCCCCATCTACTAACCTGTGCCCTGTGAAGGGTTTAGAGGAATAGAGAAAAGATTTTCATAGTGAGATTAAAGAATTAGGAGCAAACATGCCCCCAAGTCTTCATTAGAGGGAGCAAGGATTTATTTTTCAATTAATTTTAACTGTTTTCATTTTATTTGAAAGAGAGAAGGAGAGGAAAAGTGGGAGAGAGTGAGCTTCTATCCACTGATTCACTCCCTAAATGCCAGCCAAGGCTTGGGCAAGCTGTAGCCTGGAGTCCAGAAATAAATCATGAGAGATAAAGACCTAAGAACTTGGGTGTGTGCTAGCAGGAAGCTGGAATCAGAAACAGAGCTGGGAATTGAACTCATGCACTCTGATAAGGGATGTGGATGGCTCAAATGGAGTCTTACCTACTACACCAAACACCTGCCTCCAAGGTAGCAAGGCTTTTGAAACTAGACCCACTGGCTCATTCTTCCTCCAGACCTCAGATGACATTTTCACCTCTTTTTCCAAGACAAAGGTCAGATTATAAGAGAAGAGGCATCAAGAGTTTCTCTGCTTTTTCACTTCTCTAAACTCACATATTCCACTTCAGATAAAGGAAGTGGAAATTTGAATGGTATTTTCACCTTGAAATGTTGAGGAATCTGCTCAGCATTCAACTCCATCTCTTGAAGTATTCTTACATGCTTCCTCTCTTTGAATGCCTTCTACCTGTGTCAAGCCCTGCCCCTCCCCTGGGAGGCAGTGTTGTGCAAAGCAAAGAGCTGTGGATCTTATAATAGGAAGACTCCAATTGCAACTCAGCTTCCCACTAAATCACGTTGACTAAATCACTTCTGGGAGTCTTAGATGCTATATTTGTCAAATGGAGATAATGCCACTTATCTGATAGAATTGCTCTCAGAGCTACATGACATAAAGTATGTAAAGCGCTTAGCATAATGCTTGAAAAATAGGTGTTAACCACCAGTTGTTTTGTAAATATAATTGCCTCCAATTCTTATTGTGGAATTCTGGCTTTAGTTCCTAGAGTCACTCTGGAAATGGCCTTAGCATTATGTCTATATAAACACATTATAATTGGGCCTTAGTATGGTTATATGCATATTCCCCTGAAAAAACTCTATATCATCCTAAATATGCACTACAGTGTCATGTTTGACTAAGTCAATGAGAAATGTGTGTCCTTCGAGTCATTCTGAGGGAATGTGAAGGTATGTTGCCTAGTAAATCTCTTTTAAGGGAAAAGAACCTGAATTCAGGATCTACTTCTAAGTATATGAGAAAAGTATTCCATGAGAACCAATCTTCCAAACTTTATCTGAACTTGCAGAAGGAGTTAGCCAGCAGCTACCATGGTAGATGGCTTTATTTTCAAGGTGTGTTGAGAAAAATATTGAGGGGCCAGAGGCTAGGTGAAGAATCATTCCTACCATTCAGAAGCCCTGTAATATCTCCAAGTCCTAACTGTCTGTTGAGGAACTAGCATAAGATATTGTTCCAATAATTTGTTACCTGGACATCTCACTGCTCATGATTGAGAAAATCAGTAAATTTTATGGAAGATGAGCACCAAAGCAGCAAGTGTCTCATGCCAATACTCTACATGATTATGAGAGCTGGTCTTACCATCACCTTCTAGAAATACTTTACCAGTGACAGGGCAGGCTCACCAAAGCTAATTGACCACTACATAAGGAAATAGGGCTCATGATAACCCATGATTTGCTGAGCTGGATATGTGAAAAAAAAAAAAAAAACAGATTCTCCCAGAAATACAAGATGGAAAGTAGCAGTGAGTGTGAGACAGAAGGAAGAGCATAAGGGTTTGCTGATGTTCAACACCAAATATATATATAGTCTCCTGCAGTATAGGGCCACCAAATAATAACACACAGACAACAAGCATCCAGGAGCCAGGAAGAAGCTCTCAGCAAGCAGTAAAAGGAGAGAAGACACTAGGAAGATCTTAAATAAAGAACACCAGATGCTACTCTGATCTGTAAATCGTGTTAAAACAAGAAAGAGAGAAAATTAATTAGATGAGAGTAAGAATCCAAAAATGCACTTAAGACTCAGGTGATAGATTTAAACTCACAAAATGACATTACACAGAGAAGAATTCAATCACTCCTATGCTTGAGTACAGGAAAACCAACTATGGGATTATAGAATTGGGGAGAATGTCTAACAACTTGCCCCCAATTGGTAGAGTTGGAAACATACCAGGGGATTCCAATTCAATCCCATCAAGGTGGCATGTGCCAATGCCATCTCACTACTGCAAGTGATCAATTTCAGTTCACAATTGATCATAATGAAAGGACTAAGAGTCAAAGGGAGCACATAAACAAGTCTAGTATCTGCTAACACCAACCGATAGAATAAATAAAGGGGAGAGTGATCCAACATGGGAAGTGAGATACTCAGCAGACTCATAGAATGGCGGATGTCCTAAATAGCACTCTGGCCTCAGAATCAGCCCTAAAGGCACTCGGATCTGGCTGAAAAGCCCATGAGAGTATTTCAGGCATGGAAAGCCAAGACACTCTGGCAAAAAGATCTCTGTGAGTGAGATCCCAGTGGAAAGAACAGGTCTTCAAAGAGGGAGGTGCCTTTCTCTGAAGGGAGGAGAGAACCTCCACTTTGACTATGACCGTGTCTAAACAAGATAAGAGTCGGAGAACTCAAGGGGCTTCCATAGCCTTGGAAACTCATAACGGGTGCATAGGGAGATTACTGATGCCATAAACAGGAGTGTCAATTTGGTAAAGTCAACAACAGGAGTCACTGTGCACTTACTCCTCATGTAGGATCTCTGTCCTTAACGTGCTGTACACTGAGGCTTAATGCTATAACGAGTACTCAAACAGTATATTTCACTTTGTGTTTCTATGGGGGTGCAAACGACTGAAATCTTTACTTAATGTACACTAAACTGATCTTCTGTAAAA